TGATGTCATAGTGTTCCTTACTGAGCTCTCACCTGATTGGCTGTCATAGTGATGATGTCATAGTGTTCCTTACTGAGCTCTCACCTGATTGGCTGTCATAGTGATGATGTCATAGTGTTCCTTACTGAGCTCTCACCTGATTGGCTGCTGTGAGGTCTGACTGCAGCTTATGAACACGAACATGAGCAGCCTTCAGATCTTCTTCTTTCTTCTGGTTGATCTCATCGATCTTTGTCCTGCAGGTAAACAAAGAAACAAACAAAGAAACAAACAAAGAAACAAAGAAACAAACAGAACCACACTTGACACTCGGCTACAACAGTTGAGTTATTTCAGTGAGCAGGGTTTTATTCTTTATTTTGTACAAATCAAACCTGAAAAAACATTTTTTATTCAGTTCAAATGATGTAAAGTGAGTAAATTAGAGACTGTTTGTATTAGATGCAGAAAGAAGAAGAAAGGTTCTGGTTCTGACCTGCTGTCGTTGTACAGAACCTCCTTTTCACTCTGCAGACGCTGAAAACTGAAGACAAACAATCGTTTATCAGAAACACACGTCTCTGAGCAGCTGCAGGGTTTTATTCACAAAGAAGCTTCTTCAGTGTTCCTGCCTGGTTCTGGTTCTGGTTCTGGTACTACAGTAAAACCACTGACAGTGAGTGTGAAAGATCTTACCTCTCCTGCTTCTTCTTTAACTTGTCAGAGAGCTGAAAGGAAAACAGAAGGTTGGTGTTGAAAACTCAGAATGTTCTGACCCGTTTGGACCCACTGGGTTACCTTTGTTATCTCCTCCTGCAGTCTGGTGACTTCAGTCTGTTTGGACACCTGCAGACAGGAAACAGATGCTAACTGTGGAGGTCAACAAACATTCATTTGTATTTTCAGACAGGTTTGACAGAACCAACAGAGAAGACACCTGATAAATAATCATTTTGTTCAGACAGAAACAGTTTCTTCTGTTCCTGTTAGAATTAATCAGTTTAATAAAAATGTTTAGAACAAATCAGACTTATTA